TATAATAAATATATTTAAATAAAAAATTAAGTGTCATATGAACTTTAATCTTACTAACCAAGTGATGACGTAGATACCATCATAAGTGTTCACATGAACTCAAGTTAACATGTGGCATGTGTTCTACTGACACGATTTATAAGTAGTATACAGATGCAGATAGAAATATGTATATCTTCTTCAAGGTTATCGAATAGTGGAGATAGAGACGGATTTAATGGCGAGGAGATGAAATGAACGTGAAAAACAAAAAAGACAAAAGTAACACAATATCAAAGATATGTGAAAATCAAAATTCTAACCTATGACAGACGTATTTTGTCTATGTCTGTACATCGGGTTGCAAATATACAGTTCCATCGACATATACTCGTGTGCTCTGTTGTTACAAATTAAACTTTACTCTAATAACTGTTTGTAAATATTCATTAATCGAAGTGTTCTATTAAAGTCATGCTAGAATTAAACATACTTTCATACTGTTATCAGCTAATTATGAAGTGGTGACCAGATGGCAACTGATTTAGACATATCTCTAACTTTAGTATGGAACGATGTGGGCTCTGGTCTTACAATTTTATTTTCTTATTTATTTTATTCCTTGACGCCCCGAGGGGATCAAAGAGCCGCAATCTAGAGCTATGAGATTTCGGTAGCAGTGTGCTGTTTTATTTTTACGGGGTAGAGTTGCTAGCCTCATGCACTACTGGCTTAACGAGGTATAGGAATGCGCTGGCCGGGGATCGAACCCCAGACCACATGTGGCGTGGTTGGTGATAGCTTATCTTACAAGAGTATGGACTTGAAGATCAAAGAAAGCCTTCACTCCTGAATAACAAAATAATCGAATGGAATATTGAACTAACTTCAAAGGATGTAAATGATTCACTATTCTATAGATCATATTATATACGTATTGACCATATTATTTGGTCCAACTCCCATATTGTTTCACATTAATACTAATGTAACGATAGGAGATGAGAGACTTCGTAGAGGAATGTTTATTTGCAATTTGGTACATTAATATTGCGAAATTATGTACATCTTATCTTTAACGCACTATGTGGACAGTTCTTCAGTGTTGTCCTACTTCTGCCGTTCCTTCATATTGTGTTTCTTTGTCTTCCTTTCATGTCTTCCATGTATCTCTACAACGGTGGATCATTTGCTTGCTGTTGTGTCAAACCTATCTCCCTGCTTTTTGATATTTTTATGCCGATGAATGTCTCTTTATATGCTACTGATAAATCCTATCAGTAGGACAGGCCACAGTAATACTTAGAGCAGTGAATATAATTTCCGTTTATAAACAGTTAAATATAACACTCAAAGAAGTCATACTGCATGTAACGAAAATATTTTTTAACTTATCACACACCGTAGTAGACTATCTTGTCCTCCAGCTGTCTACAAAGTCAACCTTCTATAGAGCATGTCATACAGGTAGGGGAGGCAGCTGAAGCATTCACTCATTAACACTATGTATTATTATTTCCTTTAATTCCTAGGAGAACATAGGGCTTCAGCTGCGCACCTCCATTGCCTTCAGTTCTCTGCCAACTTTTTCACCCCGCTCCAAGTCTGCCCACATACTTTCATCTCCTCTTCACATGACCTCCTCCAAGTTACCCTTGCACCGACAACCAACTTACCGCTTCCCTTTCGGGTTCCACTCGAGCAGTGGCTTGTCTTTTGATGTCACTTGATGGTTTCCTCAGCGTATGGCCAATCCATCTCCATTTCTTCCTGCTTATTTGTTTCACAATCGGTTCCTGCTGTGTTGGTTCGCTCATTGCCAGAGACCCCTGTTGGTGATCTTTTCTGGCCAGCCATCTGATCTTGAGTATTGAGCGAAGACAACTGTTAATGAAGGTGTGTAGTTTGTTTGAGATGCTCTTTATGACGCGCTGGCCAAGTCTCTGATCCGTATAGTAGCACTTACTTAACATTGTGGTAGACAATCCGGATGTTACTTTTGATGGTGAGTGCTGTTGACCTCCACACACAGTGATGAAAGCCTGTCTTGCTTTCCTGATCCTCGTTGCTTTGATATCCTCGTCAGTTCCGTCCGCCTGTAGGTGAAACGATACTTCCCAGGTAGGTAGGTAAAGGAGGTTGTTTCTTTCAGGTACCTCCCATTTATGCTGGCTGATTGTTGTCTAATGTTGTTGTTGCAGTCGGTGTTGGCTAGGAATCTTCATCACCTCTGGTTTATCTCTGTCCACTTGAAGTCCTATCTTTGATGCTTCTTCTGCCAACTTGTTGCTTTTCACTTGCATATCTTCCAGTTTGTGGGAAATCAGACATATATCATCGGCGAAGTCCAGATCAATGTGAATATCCTTGCTTAATCATTCTACCCTATCGATTATGATAAGATAACATTCAGATCTAGTGCCTAAAAATGATTTACACATCAAAAAAACCAACCTGACAACGAATGAGCAGTATTTCTGATCACAATGCAGAGAAATACTGCCCTAGAGATGTGCAATGACCCATATATATAATGATACAGTAATAATAATAATGATGTTACCAGTTTCATCCTGGTCAAATATTTGCATGATGTACATAATTCACAAACTTATTTATGGCATACAATTTTATTTTAGTTCAGGATCTCTAAGTAGAATAGCAACCTCCAGTCTATCAGCTTGTAACAGCAGAAGGTAGGACATGGAAGCGAATCTATATTTTTCATCGATGAGACCACTATATATATGGTATTGTGTTGCTAATGCACTTCTGAACTGTGGGAACAGTACTCAGATGTTAACGCCAATAAATACAATGACTCTTATTGTGAGAATAATATTCCGTCGGAGCACATTGTCAAGTATTGGTTTTGTAGGAATTTTTCTGTGTGACTGGTTGGAGAATCTCATCATGGGCTGATATCAACTAGAGAATCATTGGAAAACCTGGTCTTACTCTGCTTCAGCAGTATGCACCCACCCACTGGATCAGTTCTCAGTGGCTTAATGGTCTACGAGCTTACTAGCTTTGTAACCAGAAGGTCCTAGGTTCGAACCATGGCGGTGGGTGCGTAGTTCATAAGAGTCCCAAACTAGGCTGATGAAACAACTGGCTGTGCAGTACTGCTAGTTGGCTTTTCAATGTTTCGATAATTGATGTCAGCTCATGATGAAATCCTCCAACCAATGGAACACATTGTATTCAACCACAACAATAGGACACAATGCTTTTTGATTCGAAGCATAGACTAATCCCTTAAGATATCTTTTTCCTTCGTCTCTGAGATATGCGCACCGGTAGTTTGAAAGGCGATTAGAAATCCACGAGAGTACATTTTTCGACTCGAGGAATGTAATCGAATCTTTGAAACAATATGAATTGCAAAAAATTTGATGATGCATTCTATTATGTTGTTTGTATGGGAATTCGCGTAGCTCAATGATTCAAATAGACCGCTTAGAATAATCATATATCTTAGAAAGTTTAGCTATAATGAACTGAAACTGAACATTTTGCCAAAAATAAAAAAACATTTCCTGTGGATTTATAAAACCCTTATCCAACTACGCATTGAAGTTTCTGTAGCAGTTTGGTTAAGCAAAGACAGGACTCCAGGTGAACATAGACAAGACGGAGGTTATGAAAATAACCAACCAACAACAACAGAAGCAACATCCAGCGCCAATCACCATCAACGGGAGGGATTCGAATGAGGTTACTTCATTCACTTATCAAGCATCGACCATTGTCTCAACTACAGTAAGTCGGAACGGACGAGGATGTCAAATCGAGCGAGAATCGGGAAGGCGAGAAACACGTTCATCAACCAACTGAAACCAATCTCGAAATCTTCGTCACTCAGCCAACATCAACAACAAAATTCGGTCGGATTTTCAATACAAACGTCAAGTCAGTCAGTTCTTCTATACAGATGAGAAACTTGGCGGGCGGGTCACAAAGAACAGGTATTTCCAACGGCCTGTTGCAGACCTTTATCAACAACTGTCTTCGCTCTATACTGAAGATCAGATGGCCGGGCCGGGCCGGAAAGAATCACCACCAAGGAATTATGGGAACAAACAAACAAAAGAAGAACCAATCGTCAACCAACAAATATGCAGGAGAAAGTGGAGATGGATTGGACACTCGCTGAGGAGGCCACCGCTGGGTGACATCGCGCGCCCGTCAGACCATTGCTCGAGTGGAACCCGAAAGGGAAGCGGCGAGTGGGACGTCAGTGCAAGGATGACATGGAGGAGATTGTGTGAAGAGAGAGGAGTTGAAACAGTATGAACTAACATGGATGCAGGTGAAAAGAACAGCAGAAGACAGAAGTGGAGACGTGCAGCTGAAGCCCTCCCTATGTTCCACTAGGAACCCAAGGGAATAATAATACAATAATAATAATATCCAACTACGCAAATTTGTTCCTTTTCTAGAAGAAAGTGAATAATATTTTCCTTGAGTTCTGAATGGAACATAGGGCCTTAAGTTTTTTGACGCGACACGGGTTACTATGCCCTTCTGCCCAAAGCTTCTTTGCTTCCCGAATTTACCATGAGTAGGTAAACCAAGCAAGGCTTCAGAGTATAGCGGCTGGGAATCGAACCCGGGTCTCCACCCACTTGACTGTTGAACATTATACCACTCAGCCGTAAGCCTACTCAAGGCTAAGGTAATGAATGAACTTGTGTGTAATTGAGTTAGTTATTTAGTATAATCAAATAGGCATTGACTATGATCAACAACAAAAAAGTATAAGAAAATAAACATTCTAAAACTCACGTTGATCTACACTTTCATTATTTGTACTTTCTGGGCAAGTCAATTTGTGCACATGAATACTAATAATAATAACGGATTTTAATAAATATGTATTTTTTTCGAATTTCATGCCTTAAGCCCACCACCTAATAATATTGCTAGGTTTATCGATCGATCGATCGCTGAGTGATTTATTTTTTTTGAAAAACAAATAATTAAGAAGTAATCAATTGTTCATTAAAATGAGCAAATTATATGTGAAATATCGATTAGTACATGAGTATATATATATATATATATATATTGATTTACACAATTTATATATAAATACATATATAATATGGGAAATAGTTTTCTGTCTAAAGCTACCTGTCACAACAGATTATGTCTCGAAATAGATCATGCAAGTATCAATAAAAATCTGAATGAATTTTTAAAAAATTTTTCTCTATTTTTGTTTTCTCTAATCAATGTTCATACATACTCTTTTGAACAGAGGAGGAGAAGGAGGACGAGGCGGAGGAGATTCACATGAAGGTGAATATACAAAAGCAAGTTTATAAAATGTTGTCTATGATGTATAGAAATGCCAACAGTGTTATTGGCTTATGGTACATACATATGTGTATATTTATGTATACTTTCTTTTATTCACAATATAAGATAAAATAGTAAAAACTCAAAATAATTCAATCTCTCTATTTATTTATTGATCGGTTGATTGATTGATCATCGATTAATTGGTATAGGATATTTTTTACATTTAATATTTGAATTTAAATTATCCATGATATCGATTTGTTCAACTGTAGTATACGGTGCTTCCCATGTTAATATCCCATTATCTAATTTAGCAATTAATTTATTTTGATCCACATTTATTGGTATTGTATGCTCATGGAGAAATTCTCTAGCAATTTTTGTTTGTTTATAATTTTCAATATTTTTACCTTTTTGTCTTATCATAATAGTTAAAACACCATTTTTTAGATGGATATTTAAATCTTCCGGTTTTACATCTTTACCAACTTTCATATTTTGTGTATAGAATTTTGTAGACTTAGATATAGCAGCGCTATTATTATTAGTAGTAGCATTAATATTAGTGTTATTAGTGTTCACAGTATGACTGATAGGATGTAATGTTGCATTGATATAAGCAGAATTACCTGTCTTCCCATTAGTAGTACTTTGTTGATGATATTGATGTGTAGAAGAACTATTGATCATTGTTGGTGTATTCTCATCGGAAGAAATATTACTGACTGGATGAATGTGTAATGGACGTTGAGCTGTTGAAAAGGTTGATGTATTCAACTTCTTGTATTCACTTTGATGATGGTAATAATTATGATTATTATTATTATGATTGTTATTATTATTAATATTATTATTATGATTATACTGTTGGGAGTGTATTGGCACTTGATAATGTCTATTATACTGTTTTGAATATGGTGAATGATTTAATACTTCTACACGAATAGGTTGTACACTAGCTGGACTTGGTTGACCACTATGTTGATTAATGTCCACACGTACTGGAACTCTTATCGATTCATGTCTTGAAAATGAATTAGCCGTGTAATGAGTAGGTGAACGTTGAGGTGGATGACGAGAATTACGATTCATGAGGAGGGAATTATTTTCTTTCACACGAAATGATTTATGAATATCAGAAGTTTGTAAACTTGAAATTGAAGGATGTCGTTCTCGTGTTTCATTTAAAAATGAAGTACGTAGTCTTGGTGACTCGGAGACAGAATTACGATGTGATGATGAATTCGATAATTCCCAGTTAATATGACGTTTTGTAACTGGACTTATTTGTGCGGTTTTTAATATTGAATTATCACGTTTATGTACATCAGCATCTAAGAGTAAAGTGTTTTTATTGATTAGTGTGCATTTCAAGGTGTCAAGATCAGCAGATTGAGGAAATTGAATTTCACGTTTAAATTCTTGTTTATACTTTTCACCAGTTGGCTTGATCTCTTCATAATTTAAACTGATAATAACATCTTGTGATTGTCGAACAATCTGGATACTTTCTTGAGGATAACCTTGTAAATCAACTTCAATACAATATTTTAATTTTCCATTTATATCATGAGTGTGATATTCTTTACATGGTGTCACAGAATTCAGTATATTTCCACCAGTACGATGTCCAAGAGAATTACGATTTAAAATAGGTATAGGCGGTGGACGTTGCATCACTCACTGACAACTGGTTCCAACTCACACCACTTCTCTCTCAATGTGATGAAAGAGCTATTTGCCTATATTATACCTAATTTTTTTAAAACTATAAACTTCAAACGCTTTCTGATTGGTCGGTTTGATTGTACTATCCACTGGTTGGCCTTCAACACAAGGTTGCACGTGCTAAACAATTTAAACCAATCATAGAATTTTAAAACATAGTTGACTGGATACATGCACACACTATTAGGCCAAGTATAACTGTTACCAAAAATATACTTTTGCACACACATTAACCATTTATAAAAAGTAATTATATCTTGAAGGTGAATTCCGTGTCAATACTCATAACAATTCATAACATTTTCATGCTTTTCATTCATATATTTTGATGAAGACGCTTATTGCTTTGACAGAGTAACTGGTTGACAGGCCATCTCCACAACAGTAACCGTTAGTTTACTCAGCAAATTTAAGGATATTGCTAATACAAAAACAAAAACAAAAAAATCTGAGCTTTGATTGGTTGAACAGATGTAGCCGAAATCATCATGTCTTAGCATTAGTGTTGGTACCGTCTGAATTCTATCAGTCAAATTTCAGATGTAGTCACCGACCTGGGCGACAGGTTATCGCGATGGCTAGTTGCGATTGACAAGCTTGAGTGATAGAATGTCGTAAGTATCAACAGAGTAGACGAGAAACATGATACTGATTTCCCCTAGTGACCAGTCAGTGTATCAGTTCTGTCCCTAGAGGAGGTCACTAATGAGCTATAATAGCCCTGTAATAATGTCTCTGATCACACCAGTGGACGATGTGGACTCGAAATTCAGAGAGTTCACATACGAGTTACTGACATATGGCCATAGGCACAAAACCCTGATCCAGAACTTCTCACTAATTGCCTCAGACTAAATGTGATTACAGAGGAACTTTTATTCGGCTTTGTGATAATATTATGTTGTTATATGACTGCAAGTTGGTTTAAGTAAAGTCAAGGTTATGTCATAGGGTGACTACTTGACCCGGATTGTCTGTGGGAAACGTGCTTGTTCTGTTTCAAGCCTGCAGGCAGAGCTTTGTTCTCGCATTGCTGGAAATATTTTATTGATTCTCAGGTATTTTTTGATTGTATCCAATCAATTAATTTTGTTGTACACTGCCGGGAAACTTTGGAATGTATAACTGCTGGATGCTAATGCTGAGGTGGTTTTGTGCTTTTGATATGCAATTACTTGAATTGAATATTGTCATAGGTTCCGTCACATCAGAGTGTGTTATGATGTTGTTACACCGTAATAAAGGACTGTGCGTCACTCTCGGAGATACAGAAGAAGACATTAAGTGGTTCCTGTAATCCAACTGAATTACTTGAGTTGTGGCCGTTACAGCATTCGATCTTCAACTTACCACCAATTAGGTTGATTGTGTAGTGAGAATGGAAGAACTGAAAGATTCACCCTTAGTGAGTCTGATGTTGCCGTAAATGTGATTTGCTCATATTCAACGGTGTAACAGGCTGATCTGAAGTTTACTGTTAACGTAATCCCAATGAGTGTGTATGTGTGTGTTGACCTCACTGCGGTTGACAACAGATTTTGCACACCAAATTCTGCAAAAAGTATGACTTACATTACTTATAAAGGTATTGATTAGCAATAATACAGTTAGGCCACTTGAAAAGCACAGAAATAAGTCTAAATCCTATGGATGATCAGAAATATTGATAAGAGTAATCAAATGATCATCCATTACGCTTGAGTTAGACATTCAAGAAAACTGTTCACAGGTGTTCAATATGTAGTCCAGCCACTGGTGAATTTCATCGGCGATTATCTATCCCCACACTCGACGACCCCTCAACAGATATTCAGTCAGTTTTATCCTGAAGTCATTCACTAGTGAGCTTAGGTTAATTTTCAAGTGTTGACTACGAATTAGATCACTGGCTGATTTAAGTCGGAGAACTATTGAAAACCAACAAGGAGTACTGAAGAGATGTTTCGTCCAAGCTCGAGACTCTTCATTACCACACACCCTTGTTCCCATCAACCATAGAACCCAGGACATTGAAAGCCTAAACTATGCATACGAAGAAGATTTGTGTGTAACTTGAGGTTCGTGGATTTTATCTTGCTTGGGGTCACAGGTTTATAAACTGGTACGAAAAAGTAATACAGTATTCTATGATGGTTTCAAAAAGTTCTCTAATTGAAGTCAGTCCATTATCATACCTAAATATCAATCAACATTTTCATAGGTTGTTAATCTGTCAACTGATAACAGCCTAGATGATCCTCAGATTACCTATACTGGGAACAATAAACCATCACACACAACACCATGATGAAGTTCCACAAATGTTACAGAATCTATGAGTTGATCAATCCTAAGACACTGATATAGACTATTTCCCGTTTCTGTCGAAAGACAAGACGTGTATTCCATCTACGAGTTACACGAACGAGCACCTTGTTTGACTGCGAACATAGATCTACGCAGACAACCATTTGGAGCAGTAGGTTACTGACGCAGTTGCTTTTGTTGGGTAAGAGTTGAAGTAAACATAATTTTTTTTTCTTGTGTAGAAATACTATTCCAAAATTTTTTTCCAGTGTACTTTTATGTCATAATTCAAAAGTACTGAAATGTTTTTACCCTAATAATTATCTTGTAGATTTACAAATACTTCCATTAAAAAACTTTCAACCTTGACTTTATTTGACATTTAGCTATTGCCATGAAAATCTTTCCCCTTCTCTCTAAATAATCTTTCGTCCAATACAATTCACCATTTCAGTTACAAACTAACCTCTGTCATGTGAAAAGGAATAGTACATAGGCATTACAAATAATAAATTCATTTTCAAGTGTACCCTGAGATTGTCAAAAAAGAAGACGAATTAAAGCCTGGAAAGCTTAGCGACAGAAACGTTCATAATATGAGAGCTGGTATTGTTTCGTTGGAAGTCTTTTTCCAGTAATTCAAACTAAGAGGGATAGCTGTATTGTAGTTTTCGCTCTGGTGGTTTTGGTGGTGGTCATCGTGATATTAAGTGATTCATAACGGAAACCTCAGTGATGCTTTTAAAGTAAAAACAGGAGTACTGCAAGGCTGATCAACACTATCACCGATGATATTCCCAGTTAAGGTGAACTGGACAATGCATCTGACTGTGAGAAGCGAGAGACAAGAACACGTTTGACCGACAGGAAGACTCTAGGAGATTTGAATTTCACGTGTGGATGACTTATGTTCATTATTATTATTATTTCCTTTAATTCATAGAGGAATATAGGCTTCAGCTGCGCACCTCCATTGCCTTCAGTTTTCTGCCAACTTTTTTACCTGACTCCAAGTCTGCCCACATGCTTTCATCTCCTCTTCACATGACCTCCTCCAAGTCACCCCTGAACTAACGACCAACTCGCCGCTTCCCTTTCAGGTTCCACTCGATCAATGGCTTGTCTTTTGATGTCACTTGATGGTTTCCTCAGGTATGGCTAATCCATCTCCATTTCTTCCTGCCTATTTGTTTCACAATCGGTTCCTTGTTGGTTTGCTCATTGCCAGAGACCCCTGTTGGTGATCTTTTCTGGCCGGCCATCTGATCTTGAGTGTTGAGTGAGGACAACTGTTAATGAAGGTCTGAAGTTTGTTTGAGATGCTCTTTATGACACGCCAAGTTTCTGACCCATGTAGTAGCACTTAATTAACATTGTAGTAGACAATCCAGATGTTATTTATGATGGTGAGTGCTGTTGACCTCCACACACAGTGATGAAAGCCTGTCTTGCTTTCCTGATCCTCGCTGCTTTGATATCCTCGTCAGTTCCACCTGTAGTTGAGACGATGCTTCCTATGTAGGTAGGTGAAGGAGGTTGCTTCTTTCAGGTTCCTCCCATTTACGCTGACTGTTGTCTATTGTTGTAGCTGTTGACCAGGAATCTTAATCACCTGTAGTCCTATCTTTGATGCTTCTTCTGCCAACTTGTTGCTTTTCACTTGCATATCTTCCATTTTGTGGGAAATCAGACATATATCATATAAACTCAAAGACTTATAGGAGAAAATTGACAAATTGGCAGAAGAAGAAGAAATAAGGACAGGACTCCAGGCGGACATAGAAAAGACGGAGTTGTTGAAGATCAGCAACCAACAGCAACAACAATCCTTACCATCAACGGAAGATATTTGAAAATGGTCAATTCTTTCACTTATATGAGCTGGTAACATTGTTTCAACTACAGACAGTCAGCACGGTGGAAAATGTCAAAGCTTATCATAATCTCAAAGCCAAGACAGTCTTTTATCATTCTGGAATCAATGTAGAAGTCTTCTGCACTCAACGTGAATAACAGCCTAGAGCTTTTGAAATTATATTAGCTGTGGCGTATGGCTTGTGTATGGTGGGGGTTGCTGGTCAATCGTGAGACCACCCATCCATTCTGAGGCTACGGTCTGGGTGAATCCTAGTCACGATGCCTCCTAGTTACTAGGAAGCGTCGTAGGAGGAAGAGCAGATGAGAGTTTATATGCGATCGTGGAGCTAGCTAAAGACGACTGCGTAGTACAGGATGAAATAGAAATGAGCTTCAGAAGCCATATTTCCCATATGAAACTTAAGGAAATAATATTATTAACAATACGACAAATAAACGAATGAATTAAGTACTTCCTAACTCAACTTGTTGTCGAATAAGTGTTTAAATGGAATTTTCCTTCTTTTTGCCTACGTCTTAGTCCAATCGCTGACATCAATTACTTCAAATCTACTTTTCACCAATTGCCTGTATCCTTCAATTATCATGATAGTCAACTATGTTACATAATGTATGAAGAGAATAATAAACTTTTTTGATTTCCAAAAGATTTCAACTGATTCACCACCTGTCTGAGTCAAGTCAAACCACATCTACTAGTGACGACTGAAACCGTCGTTTGATGGTATTTAGATAGATTTCATCTGACTACAGAGCGACACTGATTGATTTGAGTTGTTTTCACTTATTCGTATCCTATCAGTAGTGTTTGTGTACGTTTTTTCAATTTCCATTTATAGTATAAAGATGGTCTCAT